AACAGGCAATTTGTATAACATGATTTTTTTCACACATTGTTACACTGAATTTTGTCCCCCGCACCCCCCACAAAATTTATATGTTGGAACCCTCATCCTCAATGTGATGGTATTTGAAGAAAAGGCCTTTGGGAAAGGATGGAACCCTCATGAGGACATTAGTGCCCTTTTAAGAAAAAATTTCAGAGAACTTCTTGTCCACCTTCCCACCAGTGTTAGGACACAGTGAGATGATTGCCTTTTGCAGACCAGAAGAGATCACTCATCAGAGCCCCACCCTGTTCTTATATTTCTAGTTCCCAGAACTGTGAGAAAAATAAGTTTAAGTTGTTTGAGTCACCCAATCTATGACATTTTGTTATGAGAGTCAGAGCTGACTATTATGATGGTATTACATTTCATAACACAATGAGGATTTATTTTGATAATGTTGATTTTGCTTTTTATGTAAGTACATATAGATAGTATGCATGTATGTGGGTTAAATAGCTGGTATTTCCAAAGAAGAGCTTGCATGAGGGTATTGGTCAAGCAATGCTTTAATGTAAATGTTTTAATTTTTATAAGAATTTTAATTTTTATAAGAATGTCTTCATTGTTATGTGTTTTATATAAAATATTTAAAATGTTTAAATATTTTGAGAAAAAATACATTATAGGTTTTGAATGTTGTAAGATAACTAATTAATAGGAATAACTTATATTTAAAGAATATTTACTATGTTCTAGGTAGCTACACTGAATTTACCATTTGATCCTTGCAAAAATTCTATGAAGTAGATCTGATTTATATCTTAATTGTATAGCTGATGAAACTGAAGCTCAGAGACATTAATAAATTTACCCAAACATCAAATAGCCATAAAAGATACACACAGGATTCTAATGACAACTTAATTAGAGAGCCTTCCTTTCTAACCTCAATAGTATGGTGAGATATGAAAATAGAGAATTAGGAAATTAGCAGGCTAAGAGAAACATTAGCAAAACCAATTTCAATAATATGAAAATTGCAAAAAACAAATTATAATTGATTGAGAAAATAGAATACAATTAGTAAATAAAATGAATTGCTATATCTTTATTATCATGTTGAACCAAAGAAAATTGTTAAGTCAACTATTTTGGCCTACAAAATTGAAAATTTCATGTTATCCAACCATCAGTTTATGAATATTATTTTCAAGAATCTTATTCTTGAAATTTAAAGATAGAAAGAGAAAGTAAATGACAGACATTCCGAAACCCTCAGTGCTATGTATGTGTATTCTGAATAATCTGGAAGTTATTTCAAACCTTATTATTCTGATATGAAAAAAAAATGTGCATACAGTTAAAATACCAAACATGAGTTTTGTGAATTATATTTCAATATGCCAAGAAAGTGTTTTAACAAATTAACCAAATAGTGCCAAAATGGTTACAAAAGAACACAACTTCTGGTTACTGTCAGAAGTAAAATCTCACTGACTGCAGATCCACACTGGAGCTCAGGCCCCAGCCCAGGACTGCCTCTGCCAGCCCCGGTGGAAGCCCGGCCCAGGTTAGGCCCATCACCACCCCCTGGGCCCACCTGGGAGCACAGGCCTTAGCCCACTTCCATCTTGGGTCACTGCAGCCATCCCATAGTCCTCCACACATTAGCCTCCACCTTACAACAACAGAAAACTCATCTCAGAACAGGCAGTCCATGAGGTACAGAGAATCTGCATGGTCACTATAAGATTAAAGGGTAGAAACTGTAATACCTCAGATATGCACTGCAAGAAAGAAAGACACATAGACAACAGGTAAAAACAAGGGAAAAAACTACCCCAAACAAACCAGGATACTATAATAATAGAACCCATGGATGGTGCAGTTGATAAAATGTCAGAGAAGGAGTTCAGAATATACATAATCAAAATGATCTGTGAATTAAAGAAAGACCTAAATGAGCAAATATAGGCAAAAATTGATCACTCCAACAAGGAGATAAGAGAACAAATACAAGCAACCATTGATTTTACTAACAAAAAGATAAGGGAGCAAACACAGGTAGCAAAAGATTACTTCAAGAAAGATAGATTCTGAAAAAAAAATCAGAAATCCTTGAAATGAAGGAAACAATAAACCAAACAAAAAACTCAATAGAAAGCCTCACCAACAGGCTAGATCACTTGGAAGACAGAATGTCAGATAATGAAAACAAAGTATACAATCTTGAAAATAAAGTAGACAGCACAGTGAAGATGATAACAAATCATGAGCAGAACATCCAAGAATTATAGAATACCACTAAGAGATCAAATATAAGAATTATTGAGATAGAGGAAACCATAGAGATTCAAACCAAAGGAATACACAATCTCTTCAATGAAATAATATCAGAAAATTCCCAAACATGAAGAATGAATTGGAAAATCAAATACAAGAGGCTTACAGGACACCAAATGTACAAAATTACAACAGATCTATACCAAGGTATATGATAATGAAAATACCTAGCATACAGAATAAGGATAGAATCTTAAAGGCCACAAGAGAGAGGAATCAGATCACATATAGGGGGAGATCAATTCATATCTCAGCAGATTTTTCAACTCAGACCCTGAAAGCCAGGAGATCGTGGAACAACATATACCAAACCTCTGAAAGAAAATGGATGCCAACCAAAAATCTTATATCCAGCAAAATTAAGCTTCAGGTTTGAGATGAAATAAAAACTTTTATGATAAGCAAAAGTTAAAAGAATTCACAGTGAGAAAACCTGCACTACAGAGCATCCTCAGCAAAATATTCCAGGGGGAGGAAATGAAAAACAAAAATGAAAATTAGCAAAGGGAGAAACTGCAGTAAAGGTAAGGCCAATCAAAAACCAAGTCAAGTTAAAAACCAAAAGTAAACCAGAATGTCTGGGAACACAAATCATATTTTAATAATAACCCTGAATATGAATGGCCTAAACTCATTAATTAAAAAATATAGACTGACAGATTAGATTTTTTTAAAAAAATAAAAAAGACCAACAATATGTTGCCTTCAAGAGACTCATCTCACAGGAAAAGACATCCATAGACTTAAGGTTAAAGGGTGGGAAAAAATGTATCACTCACATGGACAAGCAGGGGTTTCCATCCTCATATCAGATAAAGTAGACTTCAAACCAAAGCTAGTGAAAAAGGGATAAAGAAGGACATTTCATACTGCTTAAGAGATTCATACATCAACAAGGCTTTATGATCATAAATATCTATGCCTCAAACAATGGGGCATCTATGTATGTCAAACAAACTCTTCTCAAATACAAGAACCAAATAGACCACAACACAATAATACTGGGTGACTTTAATATACCTCTCTCACCACTGGATAGATATTCCAAACAAAAACTAAACAAAGAAACTATAGAACTCAATAATTCAATCAATAAATTTGACTTACAGACATACATAGAACATTCCATCCATTAATGAGCGAACATACTTTCTTCTCAGCAGCACAGGGATCCTTCTCTGAAACAGACAATATGTCATGCCACAAAGCAAGTCTTAGCAAATACAAAATAGAGATACTACCTTGCAGTCTATCATACCATAATGGAATGAAATTAGAAATCAATGATAAAAGTAAAAAGAGAAGCTACTCCAACACCTGGAGACTAAACAATACAGTATTGGACAACACATGGGTAACAGAAGACATCAGGGAGGACATAAACAAATTCTAATTCATGGTGGGGTAGGGAGGGGGAGCATGAGAGGAACAGATGAACTCTAGATAGGGCAGAGGGGTGGGAAGGGAAGGGAGAGGGCATGGGGTTAGAAATGATGGTGAAATGTGATGGACATTATTGTACAAAGTATGTATATGAAGACGTGAATTGGTGTGAATATACTTTGTATTCAACCAGAGATATGAAAAATTGTGCTCTATATGTGTAATGAGAATTGTAATGCATTCCTCTGTCATACATATGTAAAATTTTTTAAAAAAAATTCTTAGAGGTAAATGAGAATTCCAATATAACTTATCAAAATCTGTGGGACACTATGAAGGCAGTGCTAAAAGGAAAGTTCATTGCATTAAGCTCATTCATTAAATGAAGAAAAAGACAGCAAATAAACAACCTGACATTAGATCTCAAAACTGTAGAAAAAGAAGAACAAATCAACTCCAAAAGTAGTAGAAAACAGGAAATAATTAAAATCAGGGCAGAAATCAATGAAATTGAAACAAAAGAAACAATTCAAAAAATTGACAAAAAAGGAGGGAAAAGCTCAAATTACTAAAATTTGTGATGAAAAAGGAAATATCATGACAGACACTGTTGAAATACAGAAAACAATTAGAAACAATTTTGAAAATTTATACTCCAGTAAAAGAGAAAAACTTGAAGGCACCAACAAATTTCTAGAGGCATATGATCAACCCAAACTGAGTCAAGAGGACATACACAATTTAAACACATCAATTTCAAGCAAGGAAATAGAAGACACCATTAAAAGGTCTGGGACCAGATGGATTCATAGCTGAGTTCTATAAAACCTGCAAAGAAGAATTAATACCAATACTCCTCAAATTATTCCATGAAGTAGAAATGGAAGGAACCCTTCCAAACTCATTCTACAAAACTAGTATCATCCTGATACCAAAACCAAGCAGAGACACATCAAGGAAAGAAAATTTCAGACCAATATCCCTGATGAACATTGATGTAAAAATTCTCAATAAAATTCTGGCAAATTGAATACAAAACATATTTTTGAAAAATAGTGCACCATGATCAAGTGGGGTTCATTCCAGATATGCAAGTATGGTTCAATATACAGAAATCAATAAATATAATTCATCACATCAATAGACTTAAAGATAAGAATCATATGATTATATCAATTGATTCAGAGAAAGCATTTGACAAAATACATCATCCTTTCATGTTCAAAACACTAGAAAAACTAGGGATAGTAGTGAAATATCCACAGATCCCAAACCCGGAATGAACCACACGAGACACTGGCTGCAAAAAGCAGGAGGCGTTTATTCTCACACAGGCGCCTGCGGGTGCACAGCAAAACCTCAGCCGGAGCTTCGATGAGCTGGCACACCGGGCTTTGGGGTATAGATCTTTTATATGGAACAGGTGGGTTAGGTCTTAGCTTAGCACAGCAACAGCCTTCCTATTGGTCCCTCTGAATTCAGCAGTTGAGTCACCTAGGGGGGTAAACTTGTTTTTCAACTTTTTGTTCTCAGAAAAACCATAAAATTGCATTCTGTCCTTTCAGTTCCTGTTTTTAAACCTAGTTCTCAAGTTTAACCAGTAGGACTGTCTAAAAGGAACATCTTGTGATAGGGGGCCCGTTAGGGTTATCTACATGGAACATCTTGTGGTAACATTGTGCAACACCTGAGGTGCTACATGCTGCTGGAGGGGTTTTGACATGGGGGTTGGGTGAGGGAACATCTTGCAGCTTCAGGGCACAGGGGTTAGTTTTCCTAATGTTGGGCCTGGGGCCTTGGGGTCCTTCATTCCCCCCTTTTTTTTTTATATCATGGATATAATCTTATATCCATTGACCCATCTGCTTGGATTCCAGCATTATTTCAGCTGACGGCTCAGCATACTGGTTGGGGGTTGGTATTTACTATTAATCTAATTTTGAATAGGACCCCAGGGTCATAGGCAGTTTTATGATATACTCTCAGGCCCCATTGTTTTTTTTTTTTTTTTATCTAATCTTTTGATGCTTTGCCTGCCTGAGTAAAGGTAATGTTTAAGGGGTTGCAGGCAAATGCGGTACATGGCCCTGCCCCGTACCATTTTAGGCTCCTGCAAGAGTCGGCAGAAAGTGGGGGATCCTGTTTTTTTTTTTTTTTTTTTTTTTTAAATTATATTTTTTGTCCCTAATAATACTTGTCATGTCTGGCTCACAGATTGGTTGGGGTTAACTGATATGGGGAAGACACAGCACAAAGCAAGAAAAATTAACAGCGAGTGAGTCTTATCTTTAGCGGATTTTGGGTACGTTGCAACTTCCATTCTGGATCCGGAGAGGTGTCTGCGGACTCCTGTGGATGTGCAGTCTTCACGTGGGAAGCATGGATCTAAGCAGCGATGCCGTCCACTTTGAGTGCAGTAGGAGTGGTCAGCAGGATAGTGTAGGGTCCTTTCCACCGCGGTTCGAGGTTCCTGCTCTGGTGCCTGCATACCCAGACGGTATCTCCGACCTTGAAGGGATGTGGCAGCAAGGGGGTTTTAAGTTCCTCTTTGTATGCTGCGGCTAGAGGCTTCCAGACCTCGTTCTGGACCAATTGCAAAGCATGCAAATGAGTCTGCATAGATGGGGTGAGGGAGGCATAGGTTTTAGTTTTATAAAAGTTAATAGCGGGAGGTGGGGCACCGTACAGGATTTTAAATGGGGTTAGTCCATGTGGGCCTGGGGTGTTTTGGGCCCCATACAAGACTAAAGGTAGGAGTTGTACCCAGTCTCTAGTGCCAGTTTTAAGTGTCAATTTAGTTAAAGTCTCCTTAATGGTTCTATTTACCTTTTTTACCTGTCCTGAACTTTGGGGTCTATAACCATAATGTAATTTTTAATTAATCTCCAATGTATTGGCTACCGCCTGACTTACCTGGGAGACGAAGGCAGGCCCATTAAATGTTTTTTTTTGGGTCCTCATTATCAGGATCAAAGGGAGTAAACCTCCGATAAGCCTTTTTTAATTTCTCTAAGAAGGCTGTCGGAGTTTTCTCTGACCCCTGGATAGTCTGTCTTACCTGAGCCAAATTGGTGGGCTGTCGCCCTGCTCCATGGAGACCCCCCTGCTCCATGGAGACCCGCTATGAGTAACTGGCGATAGAGATGTAGGTGGTTCTCACCTGCTTCAGTCGCATAGTCCCAGTTTGGCCGGGTTAAAGGAAAAGCTTCGTTAATCAAATTTGTGAGTTGGGTGGGGCGCCCGTCGTCCCCTGGCACATTTTTGCGAGCTTTCAAAAGAGCCTTTTGTTTTTCCTCTGTGTCTAATAGAGAAATCTTTAATTCTGCTACTTAGGGCTGGATAACCATATTAGCAAACATCAAGTCTACCTGTGTTGTCTAGAAATAAAAGCCTTAGACTAAAACTATTCTAGTAGTTCCTTTGACAGTTATCAGGCATTTCTGTCTAAGAATCTCTCTTGTAGCCTCCAGTCTATTTATTTATGGAAGTTATATTTAATTATTATTATTATTTAAGATGTCTAGGAACAGCTGTGCTTTGGCTTTGACTGTCTTTGCTAAGTGTTTAAGATGAAGCAAGTCAAACTGACTTTTGTTTCTACCTATTGTTTACAGTCAGCTGAGTTATCCTGGGAGTCCTCGGGAACTTTATAGCAGTTTTTCAGTTCTGCTAGTGCCATTTGCGCTAGGATGGGTCCAGGCCTTGTTTGACCATATGGCTTCCCTCAGAAGCATCAGGGATGTCTTTCTTTTTTAATGACCCTCCTCTTTACAGCAAATGCACCATTTGGCTTTCTGTCCTCCACTGGTCTCATTAATCTCCCTGCTCAGGAGGTTATGTGGCCTAGAGTTGCTGAGCCCTTTGGAGAAGTCCCCTATTTCCTGATTCAGACTGACTCAGAGGGCAAGAGCCAAATATTGGTTTTCTTGGCCCTTTTAATTTAACTAATTTTAAAAACTTGATCTTAAACATCCAGCAAATAAGTTAACAGCCTTATATTAAGAGCACTGGGCTTTAATGTCTATCTCTCTATCCTGTAGGTGATAACTCTTTATCTTATGTTGACCCAGGTTGTGTTCTTAAAGCAATACCTCTTTAGAATATTAATAGGCAATCCTTAAACCATCTATAAGCAAACTACAAAACAAAACTAACTAGGGTAAAAACATATTTAGCTTATATAATAGCTACCTTGAATTCTGGCAAGGTTATACATCATAATTTCCTGTTTGAGATCCTAGTAATCTTGGCAAAAACCTACTTTTGGACACAACTTTAACTGTACTGAAATCTGGCTTACTTTTTTTATAGCCATTTTCACATGTAGTGAGATGGGACAGAGCCTTATCTCAAGTAAGGCAGGGCTCTTTATAAATCTCAAGTACTATAGTTCTGAAGCTGATCATTTTACAAAGTTTACATAAATTGTTGTTCAAGTTTACATGAACATTAGCTAACACAACATAATATCACACCTAAAATATGAATTAAAGGCTGAAAGCTTTTAACTTTTTGTAGAAAAGTAGTAATGTACTTTTGTGTTTTGCAATTAAACCTTTACACAGATTAGGCTCTTATTAACTTAAAAATACATAAATTGTATCTTAGAGTAGAAAGTAACATGGAACTGTACATATCTTATTGATAACAAGTTCAGTTATAGAACACAAATGATATAATGGAATTTTTAACATTTTTTTTTTTTAAGCCTAAAATTACCATACAACTTTAGAACACCAGCTTGATATAATGTTCTTTTGAAGCTTTTACCTTACAGACTTGTATACCTGGAAGATATGAACACATTAATAACACCATAATTACATAAATTTTTTTTTTGTTCACATTTTGAAACAATACTTGTAAACTTTTAAATTTAAGCAGAGTTAACATTTTATTAGGGCCTTTTTGAACACCTAGAGAAACTTATAAGCTTAATTTTGAGGACATCTTTACTTTTATCTGTTTACCCAATCTAAATTGAACCGTTTGAATCACGTGAATTAAAGATATTTGGATCTATTTTTAATTTTTTTTTTTCAGGCTACCCAGTTCAAAATTGAAACTTTTAAAATTTTTTATCTCAAGTATTTAAGTTTTTTAGCATGAACTATCTGAAATCAAACTAAACAATTGTTTAAACCCAACTTTTAACTGCAAGATAGTGCAATGCTTTAGAAACCCATTTAGATACCAGATTGTTACAATAAAAAATTATTATTATTATTATTATTATTTTTTTTTTTAGACACACATTTAACCTAGATTATTTTTAAGAAACAATCAGACAACCAGATAAGAAAATATCTCTCCAGGTTTTGAACTTTTATTTAATTATGACTTTTATCAGTGGCACCATAGACTTTCCTATGAGTGGACCAGATGTTTTCACGTAGGGGCAACTATAGGTGTAAAATCAAGGGTCTCAGTGTGACTGGCTTTATTGCATTCAGTGTCCCTTTTTTTTTAAGTAAACAGAGATTAAGTAAACAGATCCTTAAGATGTAGATAAGGACCCAGGGAACTCCCCAGAGCTAAATGGCTCTGGCAGCTGCTGGGAGTCCCTTAATCCTATCTTTCACCCACAGGATCAGTTCCTTTAGTTTAGGTATTTTTTTTTTTTTCTAACTTGTTAGTAGCCAGCTCCCAAAAAGTCCATCCTCTGCTTGCAGTTGTTTCAAGTGCTAGGCTTCCCCAAGAAAGCAGAGTGGGAACTCCTTAAAAGTCCCCTTGAGAGTGTCAAAATTTGTGACTGAAAATTTGGTTCCCATCTCTAAAGCCAATTAACATTAATTTAATAATGAGGACAGGGCTTTGAGAAAAGTCAAAGCGAGATGTCAAAGTTGTTAAATCCCCAGCAGGCATCTCTATTTGCACTCAAGCCGGTTATGGGGGGGGGAAGAAAACATTGCTTCCCTAGTCTCAGTATTTAGCCTTAGATAGAATTTATCATCCGCCTTGGGCTGCATTTCCAAGCAGCCCGACTCCAGGAAGACCCGTTCGCTTCCTGGGGTGGAGGGGCCGGGAGGAACAGGGACGGGACAGATCCGCCATACCGCCGGGTGGAATCCTCCCGGCGGACTGCGTGGATCCCACCCATGCAGGAGGGGATTCGCAGAGGTCCTGAAAGGTTAAAAGCCATGATCTGGATGGCCATGCGGCCCCGGCTGAAAGACAATCTCTGACTTTGCAAATTAGAGAGAGAGATGGAGGGACTCTCCTGGGGGCCATTTAACTTCGAGGGTGGGCCAATATTGGCCACTCCGTGGTACAGAGTGTTACCCATTTTTTTCTTTTTGACTGTCACGGACAGGTTGTCTGCCCGATCTTGAACGTCTTGCCAATGATCTAGAGTTAGGCTCAAAGGGGTTGTTAGTGATTGTCCCATGTTATTCTCAGAGAGGAAATAGAGAGACAGACACAATGACACAAAAACGAAACCAAACAGTGAGATCGCTGCGCGGCTTCGGTGGAAACCGAACAAATCAGATGGCCTGGGAGAAGTTTGTACTTCTTTGTCGCCTACAAAAATGGTGTAACCCTCGGAAACACCGGGGGCCCCAAAGAAATGGACCCTTCTGATCCCTGGGACGTCTCCCAGGGTGGCAGGGGAGAAGTCCGAGTTCGTCAACTCCTTCTCAAGCTGCCTCAGAATACTAAATGACAGAACTGCCTCAGAATACTCAGAATACTAAATGACTATGCCTAGGATCATATAGTCTTACAGACGCTGCGCGGAACAAAGAACAGATAACCAACAGGACAACAAGACAGTCAGTTTGAGCTGGCCAGCTTACCTCCCAGTGATGTCGGGTGTCCTCCGGATAGGGACCGGGATCGGAACCGGAACCGGGATCTTGGATCTCGGTGGAACCTCCACAATGAAATATCCACAGATCCCAAACCCGGAATGAACCACACGAGACACTGGCTGCAAAAAGCAGGAGGCGTTTATTCTCACACAGGCGCCTGCGGGTGCACAGCAAAACCTCAGCCGGAGCTTCGATGAGCTGGCACACCGGGCTTTGGGGTATAGATCTTTTATATGGAACAGGTGGGTTAGGTCTTAGCTTAGCACAGCAACAGCCTTCCTATTGGTCCCTCTGAATTCAGCAGTTGAGTCACCTAGGGGGGTAAACTTGTTTTTCAACTTTTTGTTCTCAGAAAAACCATAAAATTGCATTCTGTCCTTTCAGTTCCTGTTTTTAAACCTAGTTCTCAAGTTTAACCAGTAGGACTGTCTAAAAGGAACATCTTGTGATAGGGGGCCCGTTAGGGTTATCTACATGGAACATCTTGTGGTAACATTGTGCAACACCTGAGGTGCTACATGCTGCTGGAGGGGTTTTGACATGGGGGTTGGGTGAGGGAACATCTTGCAGCTTCAGGGCACAGGGGTTAGTTTTCCTAATGTTGGGCCTGGGGCCTTGGGGTCCTTCAGTAGGAATATCCTCAACATTGTAAAAGCTATCTATGTGAAATTACCCAAGGCCAACATCATTCTAAGTGGAGAAAAATTGGAAACATTCCCTTTAAAAACTGGAACAAGACAGAGATGCCCTCTTTCAATACTTCTATTTAACATAGTCCTTGAAATGCTAGTCAGAGCAATTAGACAGATGGAAGAAATTAAAGGGATATAAACAGGAAAAGAAGAACTCAAACTATTAGTATTTGCTGATGACATGATTCTATACTGAGAGGATCCAAAAAACTCCACCAGAGAACTTCTAGAGTTAATTAATGAATTTAGCAAAGTAGCAGGATATAAAATAAATATCTATTAATCAAATGCATTTCTATGCATCAGTGATGAATCCTCTGAAAGAGAAATTAGGAAAACTACCCTATTCACAATAGCATCCAAAAAATATTTGGGAATCAACAAAAGAGGTGAAAGACCTCTACAATGAAAACTACATAACACTAAAGAAATAAATTGAAGAAGACCTTAGAAGATGGAAAGATCTCCCATGCTATTAGAGAGACAAAATTAATATTGTCAAAATGGCCATACTACCAAAAGCACTAGACAGATTCAATTAAAATTCCATTGTCATTTCTTATAGAAATAGAAAAAGCAATCATGAAATTTATTTGGAAAAATAAGACCTAGAATAGCCAAAGCAATCCTTAACAAGAAGAGTAAAGCAGGAGTCATCACAGTAGCAGACCTTAAAGTATACTACAAAGCTGTAGTAACAAAAGCAGCATGGTATTGGCACCAAAATAGACATGTAGACCAATGGTACAGAATAGAAGACACAGAGACAAACCCACATGAATACAGTTATCCAATAGTAGACAAAGGCACCAAAAACATACATTGGAGAAAAAACAGCCTCTTCAACAAATAGTGCTGGGAGAACTGGAAATCCAACTCAAAGTGGATCAAAGATCTAGGAATTAGGCCAGAGAACCCGTGCCCAATAGAGGAAAAAGTAGGCCCAAATCTTCATCATGTCAGATTAGGCCCCAACTTAACAAGATTCCTAAGTGCAAGAAATAAAATCAAGAATTAATAAATGGGATGGATTCAAACTAAAAAGCTTCTTCTCAGCAAAAGAAAGAATCAATGAGGTGAAGAGAGAGGCTATATCTTGGGAAAAAAATTTTGCCACACATACTTCAAATAGAGCACTAATCTCCAGGATATCCAAAGATCTCAAAAAACTTAAAACCAAAAAAACAAACAACCCAATCTCTAAATGAGCTAAGGAGCTGAACAGACACTTCTCAGAAGAGGATATATCAACAAATATATGAAAAAATGTCTGACATCTTTAGTAATTAGAGAAATGCAAATAAAAACTACTCTAAGATTTCATCTCACTCCAGTCATAATGGCAGTTATCAAGAATATATATAACAATACATGTTGGCGAGGCTGTGGGGGAAAGGGCATGCTCATTCATTGCTGGTGGGACTCCAAATTGGTTCAAGCAATCTGGAAAGCAGTATGGAGATACCTTAGAAAACTTGGAATGGAACCACCCTTTGACCCATCTATCCCACTCCCTGGTCTATACCTAAAGGACTTAAAATCAGCATACTATAGTAACACAAATCACATCAATATTTATAGCAGTTTATTTCACAATCGTTAAACCTAGATGTCCTTCAATGGATGAATGGATAAAGAAACTGTTGTATATATACACAATGGAATATTACTCAGCATTAAAAGAGAATAAAATTGTGGCATTTTTAGGTAAATGGATGGAGTTGGAGAATATCATACTAAGTGAAGTAAGCCAATTCCCAAAAAACAAAGGCCATATATTCTCTCTGATAAGAGGATGCTGATCCATAATGGGGGGGACATGGGAAAAACTGAGGAACTTTGATGGAGCAAAGGAAAGGGAGGAGTGGGGAGGGGGTATGGAGGTAGGAAAGATGATGGAATGAGATGGACATCATTACCCTTGGTACATGTATGACTGCACATATGGTGCTATGCTATATGGTGTGCAACCATAAAAATGTAAAATTGTACTGAAATTGTTTACAATGAATCAAAATGCATTCTGCTGTCACATATAACTAATTAAAATTTTAAAAAAGAACAAAAGTAGAAAACATAAAAAAAAGAAGTAAAATATATCAGCAAGTTTTACACACTGAACTCCATCTCCCTAAATCACAGAATGAGGACTGTGTTTCTATCAACAATATGACAGTTTTTCTGAGAATTATTAGTCAGATGTAATCCTGATATTTTAAAGTTCCTCCTCACTGTTCTCTTATTGACCTGCAAGTACTGGATCCAAAAATTACCTGGATCTACAGAATTTTATCAGAGGAGTTAAACTTACAAATGATAGACCCTTTTAAGGGTCTAATCAACTCACTTAGCCTTCAGAAATTATCCAGTTCACTTTTACAGAGGACAAAAGATACCCTTGTGGAGGTTAAATGTCTGACTTTCCAAAGGTCAGACACTATTTAAAGAAGAGTTAAGAATAAACCCCTGGTCTATGACTTCTAGTCCTTAGTACTTTTTGCTATGTTATGATATGGCTATTTATTTCCTGTTACGTAATGCAGATTAATCTGATCTTCTTTTTCTTCTTTTTAACTGAACTTCTGAATCAGCTAATCTTTATAATTACTGGGATAGGAAGTGAAAGGCTGAAATGACTCTGTAATCAAAGAAGCTCCCTGCCATGAAGGATGATCCTATTAGAAGCTTGTCCCCTAATGCTGGGACTTCACATCTGTCCTGTTTCCCAGCCCTTTCAATTCCTGTGATGCTTTTTACTTTCCCAGATAGTCTTAGAACTGTCCAGGCAGCCTTTAACCACTACCTTTGCCTTGCCCTTTAATCTTTAGTTGTTTGGGGGTTCTTGTCTTCTTTCTTATTTCTGAACCATAGCATGGCTCATCTTCTGGTATCCTCTTGTATCTTGGTCTGTACTTGTTTATCTTGTTTCTTATTCATTGCTTGACTTCATAACCTTGAGCTCTGGCTTTGTTTTATTCTTGGTTCTCTCAGTAGAAGATTAGACTCAACTCAAAAGTCTTCAATATTTGGAAAATAAAGTGATTTTCACCCAGAAAGTCCTTAGTAATAACTAGCATCTCTCTCTTCAGATTCACTCTGCCACCATAGTGATTGGAGTTTGAGATAACTTCCCAAGAGTCACAGAGTAAATTTCCTAGAAACAGTGAACCTAATTGTATGAAGTGATCATGTCTCCCAAAGTATTATGTAAGTTCAGGAGAAACTTTTTATAGACTTTGTTTTTCATAGAAGTTTGAGGTTCATGCCAAAATTAAGGGGAAACTACTAAGAGTTCTGAGCAATTTTTTATATAGTTTCTAATTTAGGTAAATGTATTAGGGAAACTTATTAAAGAAAACTCACTATGACTTATGCTATAAAACTAAAGGTATGTCTTCAATTTATCATTTATAAAAAGATAACTAAGGAGCTAATTAAACTAGATAACTATGCCACTTATAGACTTATTAACTCTCCACTGGACAATGAAGTTCACCCTTCATTGCCTCCTGTGAGAAAATGCAGCTGGACCCCCTGTATCTCCTTTGCAGTTGGTAATATATTAAACTGTGTTGGAAAGGGGTGCTGGAAGGACACTGAAAAAGGAAAAAGCTTTCCTTCATGATTTCAGTTGTCCCTACCATTCACTGGCCAGCAGCACCCATATGGGCCACCCAATGTCACCTTTACTCTTGGAGCTCCAATGGAACCCATGCTCAGTTTCCCATCAATTTTCTAATCTATGATTAGATTTCCATTGAGTTTTACAAGCCTCCCAATGGCCAGCTTCCAGCTTTGGTCTGCCTGTACCCCCAGGAGCACTGAAGAACTCCACCAACATGCAGTGGGCCACAAGCACAGCAACTACAATGAAGACTGAATTCTAACCATGGGGAGGGGGAGCCCAAATCCAAACTGTTTCTTCCATGGGAACCTTCCTTCAGTCCTTGGGTATTCTTAAGAGTTCTAATCTCTTAATACAATAGGGATTTTCTGTCACAGCTTATAATTTTTCATATTAAGCTTCTCCTATTCAAATTACCATTTTGTTTCTGCCTTCTAATTGACCCTGATTGATACAGTAATCTTGGAAATATAATTTTAATCTCTCAGTGTACTCATACATAAAATGAGGAAAATGGATTAGTTAATATCAAATATCTTTTCTAGCTATAAAATTACTTGATTCTAGGAAATTATTTATATGTGGCATGAAAAAAATATATTATGAATAATGAGCAGCACTTTATAGTTGTGTATTGTTTTCCCAGCCTCAGTATCAGTAAATGGGTCTCCCTTCTCATCAGAATAATGTTTTCCTCCTCCTGCATCAAAATATTAATTCAGTATCTTTTCACACATACAGTGGGCCACCCAATATCATAAATCCTCTGTGAGAGTTTTAACTAGGAAGCTAACTTGGAACAAAATGCAGACATAGAGGTTTGTGTATAAAATGAAAGTTTGAAGTACATTATAGAAATAATTTTATCTGTTTGCAAATATAAATTTTGAATGGATACATTAAATATTTAAAAAAGTGCTCCCTCTGATATTGTTTATCCTAACACATTACAGAAGAATCCATTTACCACTCCCATCATCACACATTTAACATCTCCCTTTTACCTTTCTCTGTCTTTTTCTGACTGTTTAGCCATTAATTTCTTCAGTTCTTCTAGACGTTGAAGATCTCTCATTTCCATTTCTTGCCACTTCTGCTCTTTCTTAGCCCAGTATTTCCTTATCTATTGTATAAATGTTACATAAAATTTCAATGAGCAATAGATAATAACAAGAGAAAGCAATAACATTATCCATTGGTTCATATACCAAAGATTGAATTTAAATGGCATTTCATATTTTTTGTTTCTTATAACTGCCTGTAAAATATTGGCAACAGAAAAATAAATTAAAACATGTTTTGAGAAACTTCATGGTTTAACAATTTCTGCAGTGAAAATGTAACTTGTGCTGAGCCCAAGGTTTTAATCTATGGCTAAAATAATCAAATTTCAGGGAACCACAATAAAAGAATGTTACTGCCTCTAAAGCATATGACCTACCTGTTACTCAAGAATATTTTTATCCTCTTCTGATAATGCACTCTTTAACAAATACAGCATTAGAACTATTTTTACTTTTAAAGCATGGTTTTATTTATGCTAATGGACAGCAGGATGTTGAAAGCATTATGCTTCTGGGGAAGTGGCAGGAGATAGGTAGGAGGAAGGAGGGAAAGAACAAATTAGCAGGGTTGTGGTAGTCCTGACTTATGTGGTAAAATAAAGGTCAAGCTTCTCAAGTTTAAAAAGGTGAGTGCATTCTTCTTCCCAGGCCTATTTTATTTCTCTTCTCTTGAAATGGAGGCAGAAGGACAAAACCAAGTGATACATGTGCTATTTTCAGGGGACTAAAGCCATGATTCAGGATTCCCCAGTGTGATGAGGCAATTTAAGTTAATGTTTATTTTGCAGAGGCCCTTTTTACCACTCTGATAGGCCATGTTGTATCTGGGTCAAGAGACTGGGTTTTTCTGGTGGAAAAGTGAGTGGCACCTCAGTGATGAACACCAGCAGAAGGGGATGTTATAGAGGCTGGATTAGTGGCATTTCCCCTTTTGAGAGATGGATATGAAAATCTATGTAGTTTTCTGGGTTGCCTTAGCACCCTGGTCTCAGATTCCCAGGAGATCCATAATAAGCCTCCTAAATTCCATGGCCAGAGCTATAGCAACACTTCAGCCACAATAGTGACATTGGTTCAGTGCTTAATGACTATGTGGATAAGCTCCATATAAGGTGATACCCATTCCACAGGTGACCAGGGTCTGAGTTTAGGGAGAATGGAGAGAAAGCTGGAAAGATACAGCACTAAAGACAGTGTGTGAGAGAGAGGGGCTAGAGATGAAAGAGAGGGGCATCCCTGACTGACAAAGTCTGTTCCAGAGTTCTAACTGGTAAGTGCCAGGAATTCTCTTAATATCAAATATGAAGGTATTAACAATGATTATTTAATCTTATCTGGGAATTAAAAGGGATCTTTTTTATTCTTTATGCTTTTCTGTATTACTTTATTTTCTTTTACAGTGAGTATATCTTTCATTATCAGGAAAGAATAAAAATACTTCAAAAGTAAATTTGAAAAATAGATACTGAATTAAAGAACATTTTTCTCTACCTTGCAACGTATCAATAATGTTTTATTGCTCCCAGCATTGGCCATGGAGGAAAACTCAGTGGTCCTTTTGCAGACATTAACTTGACCATAAGCAGACTGACACATGATCACTGGGACTTTTGTGAATCTCAGGACAAATTGTTTCTATTCTTAACTCTCTGGTACCCTCAGCCATTACTACAGTGTGAGTCCCTCCCCTCTTTCTCCTTCTCTCTCCTTTCTTCCCCCTGCTCTCCTTCCCCCTCTCTCAATTTACTCTTTCACAGTGCATTCTCCAGGACCCTCTGGAAACTTGTATCATCATTCATAACATCTTCCACATCTTTAATCTTCAGAACATTACTTCCTTGTTTTGACTGAAATTCTCTTGAGTGAAGAATAGTCATATTCTGTTACCCCATGTGCAGAAGGGCTTGGAATAGTTTGGACATTTTCCTCATTATAACTGCTATTTTTTAATTAACTAAACTCCATGATTTATTTAAAATTCTTTAGATTTTACCACATGTGCTTTTACTATTCTAGAGTCTCATTATCTTATCATATTGATACTAGCATTTAAGAGCAAATTTGGCACCAGATTATATTTATACTCTCATTGCACTTGATTTTCTATTTTTTCATTTTTTAAAAAAAATTGTTATTTTTAGATATATATGACAGTAGGGTATTTTTGACATATTATACATACATGGGGTGAGACCCTTTACAATTTTGATCCCATTATTGTAGTTGAACTTGATATGGAATTACACTGGTCATGTATTCACATATGAGCACAAGAAAGTTATATCTGATTCATTCTACTGTCTTTCCTAATCCCATTTCCCCCTCCCTTCCCTGAATTCCCCTTTGTCTAACCCAATGAACTTCTGTACTTCCCCTTCCTACCCTCTCTTGTTATGGGTTAGCATCCGCATATTAGAGAGAACATTTGACCTTTGTTTTTTGGGGAGACTGGCTTATTTCACTTAGTATGATATTCTCCAGTTCTATCCATTTTACCAGCAAATGCCACCATTTCATTTTTTATAGCTGAGTAATAGTCCATTATGTATGTATACCACATTTTCTTTATCCATTCATCTGTTGAATGACAACTAGGTTGATTCCATAGCTTGGCTATTGTGAATTGACCTGCTATAAATATTGATGTGGCTGCATCACTGTACTCTGTTGATTTTAGATTCTTTGAGTATATACCAAGGAGTGGGATAACTGGGTCAATTGGTGGTTCCAGTCCAAGTTTTCTGAGAAATTTTTATACTGCTTTCTATAGTGGTTGCACCAGTTTACCGTCCTACCAGCAACGTATGAGTGAACCTTTTTCTCCACACCCTCACCAATATTTATTGTTACTTGTATTCTTGAAAATTTCCATTCTGACTGCAGTGAGATGAAATCTCAGTGCAGTTTTTAATTGCATCTCTCTACTTGTTGTTAGAGATGTTAAATATTTTTTCATATTTTTTTTGATCATTTGTATTTCTTCTTCTGTGTAGTACCCGTCTAGTTCCTTTGCCCATTTATTGATTGGGTTATTTATTATTTGGGTGGTAAGTTTTTTGAGTTCTTTGTGTATTCAGGAGATTATTGCTTTATATAAGGTACATATGGTAAAGATTTTCTCCCATTCTGTGGGCTCTATAACTGCTGTTTTTAGACCACTATGATATTGTTCTCATGTATAATTCCTCTCCCTTAGATATTTACACTATCTGGATATACCCCCTCATTTATCTGTCCTTATCACTGGTATGTGTGGTCTTCCAAGTCACTCTCAAATACCTATCAAGACTTCAGATGCCCAAGTCATAACCTCCTCTATGTTAGCTCCTCCTTCCACCTTCCTAGGAAACTTCAGCATCTTTCTGAATGTCCCTTCAACTTGTTATTCTCACCCTTACATGACTTTGTCCATTCCAGGGACTCACCTCCTCCTCCTCTTCCAGAATTCTATTGTCACTGGAAACAGTTCCACCTGTTTAATCTTTAATTACAGCAATAAACTCTGTGACCAGAACTGAACCCCCATCACACCATCTTCTGGGCTCTGGTTGAATAAAGCTATTTCTTTAGTTCAGCCCTCATCATAATGCTTTGCTAATTAGTACAATATTTTCTCTTCCACTAAATTGCAGAAATTGGGATTTATTTATTGTGATACTTTTGAGAGCAATTAAATGTCTAGAACATAGCACATATTTAGTAAAAACAGCATGTATTTAGTTGATTGGTGACACAATTGTAGAAACTGGTGCCAAATTTATGGCTTCATTAGAATAGTTAATGACATTCATCATTGCTTTTATGAATTCCTGGTCAATTATTCTCAATTTTTCATAGTGATATTTCAAAACATGTTCACTGTCTTTGGTTCTATACCTGCCTCTACTTCCTCACTTTTACCTGAGGAAACAGAAGCTTTAAAAGTACCTTCCTTGATGTCCTGCACATCAGAGGAAGAAGTGCCCTTCCTTCTGTTCAAGACAAATCCCTCATTACAACCACAGTCCCATTCGAAATTCCATATTGTCAATAATCTTACTCTATCAACCATTCCCTCTCTTCATCCTCACCATCTTTTCTGCTTCCTTTTCTCTACACAGAATTAAGCACAAATTTGCTCCATTAAAATTTTTAAAGGACATACTTTAGAACCTCCACGATTTTGGCACCACACTATTCATTGTCACTTTTTTGGCCCAAGCATCTTAGAATACTTACTGTTCTCCAATTTCAAATCTATTATTTTATTCCTCACCCATGGTGCTCCTACCTCTACCTTCCACCCAGATTCATTGTTCTTACCAGTGACGTCCAAGGGATCAAATAAATAATCATTTCAATTCTTACTTTACTTGATGTCTCTGTGTATTCAGTTCTGTTAGCCCTTATGTAGAGTAGTAAAACAGTAATGACTTTGTCATTCATTTGTTCAACAAATATTCATTGAGCACATGCTTGAAGATGTTGGGCTATGGTATTTAAAGAGAGAGAAACCTATGCTTCATTAAACTGGGACTTTATTGAAAAAGAAGAGACAGTAACCAAGGAAATGAAGAATTATTACATGTGTGTTAACTCCTAAGAAGGAAAGAAGTAGGGTGATAATGCAGAATAATTTGGGTAGAATTAGTAGAAGGCATATGAAAATGTTTCCACAAGACCTTTGTTTAAAACCCTGAAAGATAAGAGGAAGGCAGCCATGGAAAGAAATGGAGAGGAGAATTGCAGAGAGAAGAAAACTGTGGGTGCAATAGCCTTGGGTGGGAAAGACCTCACACATTGCTGAGAATTGGGAAAGGCCAGTACAATGGGAGTAGGTAGTGTGAAGACAAGAGGTAAGACTGGAGAGCTGCTGGGGACCTAGGCCAGTGGTTGGTAGTTAAAACAAGGAAGTCATTGTCAAGTTTAAAGCAAAAATGACAAGATAGGGCTTACATTAAAAAAAAACAGCTCTGCTAATAAGTGTAAAATAGATAAAAGAGGAACTAAAGAGAAACAAGGAGACCAGAAGGAAGAATAAGGTAGAGATGGCTACTTGGACTAAGATATAAAATGAAGT